TCCTTCTAAGAGGAAACTTAAAGGCAGCGATTACGATAAAGAGGGAGCGCATCGGGAAGCATATGCACCACACGAATCAGTTACTTGGCTGCCAGGGAAGCGAGGTGTAGCGCTTTCACGACGAAAGGTGCGCTGGTTGCTGAGCAGGACTTCGAAAGCGCTCCGCCCCCAAAAGCGATCCGCCCACTAGTTTACTTGTTGATTTGGACGAGCTGCGTTGCCAGCAGCGGCGCAAATCTCGATTAAAGCGTGGTTTGGCATGGTGCCACCAAACGCGTTGCGGTGAACTCGTTCATACGTCCACTTTCTGAGCTGTTACCTGTTCATGAGTGAAAACCAACGGCCAAAAAGAGGGTCCCGTTTTGCGTTTTCTTGACGGATTTTCTGCTTTTTTGCTACTGGTACCCATTGAGCACCACCACGTCACACTAAACCCTTCTTGAATTTATCACAATCGCTGCCTTCAAGGAGAAGAAGTTTTCTCACCGATTCTCGGTAACGCTTCTGTTTTCGGTAGCGCAGTCGCAAGGATTCCAAGGATGAATGTTAGTGACATTACGTTCGTTAAGGCGATTCCAAGCTGAAATCCTGAATACGTTTCTCGATAGTGCTTTTGCTTCACAAATAAAAACCCCTCCAATTGACACAATCTTTATTCCATTCTTTACTAGTACGTTTTTAGGTTTCAACTACCTTCAATTGCTCCCAAAATTACGCTTCTTGGAAACTTTCCAAGTTGATGAATTGGCTTTTTTGTGGAAGACGCTATATGTACTACAGCAAACCCCATACTCCGCATGACGGCCCACCGAGGCCTATTTTGGAGCAATTTCCGGACACCTTTGTCATCTCAAAGATACCTATTGCATCAAGCACGAAATATTGGTAAAGTAAGGAGCAAACGTCTCTGATGTCAACTGATACTCACCTTGCCCATGCTGTCGGCAGTCTTGAGGAATACACCAATAAGAGAGAGCACGTTAATGATAAACGACGGTGTGATAATCATTGAAATATAGAATGAGGGATTTCTTTTCATAGAGAACACGTAGCTTGTCTGAAATATGAGTGTGTGTTGAAATCCCTGCCAAGGTTGGGCTCAAAAGGGAAGAGCTGAAAATGGGGTTTGTTTTGTAAAATGCACAAGGGACTCACATGGTCGCATCAAATCGCTCGGCATGGGATTTTCTTGATTCGTTCGAAACAGGGAAGACATTATGATCGCCATCCCCTTATCAAGGTGCGACCCAGTAGTGCTCAATAATGGTATATGGCATTTGAATGCCATCTGGCTATTACAACGAGCCCCGGGGACGAGGTTGAGGTACTGGGTTGAAGCATAATATCGTAGCGTTTTTTTTGAGCTACAAATTCAGTGAATACAAGTATTACCCAGGAAATCACATATATCATTTGAAAGTACTTCTTCCGCTCTACAATACCTTGTTTGGCATTTTCTTCTATATTGTAAGTGTACTCAGATATGGTGCTTAGAAGGTGGGCGAAAATCTATATAAAGAAGAAAGCTGCCAAAATAGGAGTTTTTCGGAATCCATCGTCATCATCGAACCTTACTCCAGTCGACCCTTAATTTCAAATCATATTCACGTCGTACAAATTGAGAATAATGAGGACTCTGAAAACGGGCTCAGTACCCTTTTTTAAATTCTGAAACCGGTAATTTTTTTGCGAAATGGAATCAAAGTCGTAAATAATGACGAGAAGAACATCACTGATCAGTTTTATGCTTGGCTTTGCTTTTGGGTTTTGCTTTGAACGTTTTTGCCGAATGCGAGCGCTACGATATTATGCTCCAACCCATACAAGTAACAGTCTTACTCAACCGGACTGTTAACAGATAGCAAGTCGAACTGGCACTGCCTTTTTTTGTTTTAAGTTATATCCCATCACACTGTCAAATCTTTGTTGAAAATGGGTTCTACAACCGCTGAAAAGAGTTCATGTGATGTGCTTCCTGTGCCATAGAGGTTTTAAGCAGAAAACTTTCTTTATTTAACCCATTCGTGACAATGGCAGCCACCGGTGGCTGACAAAGATCTCACTCGGGACAATGGTATCCACCGGTGGCTGCCGTGTTTCAAATGGAATTTGGAAAGTTTTCTTTCCTGAAAAGAATCTTCATACCCTCATTCATCTACGCCAGCCCTGGGCAGGGGAAATCTCCATCCACTCAAATTTTATTGAAGAAAAATCTCCTGACTCTCCTGCTATTGCGCAATCCCGCGCGGTCGCGAATGGGTTAAAAAAAAACTTCTTTAGTAATAGAGATTGAGATCAGCATTTTCACGAAAACCTCTACGACACAGACCTCCAGTTCTGCAATAAATGGCTCTGCCCACAATACATATCCTCATTCTTTTAGGTAAGCTTTCCTTCAGGCTGATCACCTCCTATAACTTCTTGAAAATACCTTCTCGAACCACTTACCATCTCAAAGATGGTCATGTCGTCCACAGGAGACACTATTATAGAGATATTATCAATTCGCCATTCACCATTGCCCTGAAATTCTCGATAGCAAAGCATTGAAAGTTCCTTCAATAAATGAGAGAAATGAAGGTAAATATAATAATACCACTGAAGTAAGACTGAGAGCATCAAACACTGGATAGAAGGTCGCTTTCAAACCGTACTCTCTGGGCGAGTACGACTGTGACATCAATTTTATGGAGCATGTTTGTTCGTCAAATGGGAAATCTTGCACCTGAAATACGTGAACATTTTGAAGACCATATCCAAAGCGCTGATGGTGACATTCCGACCTTCATATTGCACAACGTGGAGGTGCGGGTAGGAACGAAGAATGTCGCGTAGCCAGAGCTGTTCACCTAGATTATCGATTAAGGAAAAAGTTGATCTCAAGAGTTGGCCAAGATACTTTAATTCTAGAGAACTCGAATCAATTTTGAGATATGCACTATTTTTCCAGGAAAGAGCCAAATTCTCAGCCTCAACAATTTTTGGCCCGATCATAACACCTAATTAGGGTTACAAGGCTTCTGTCAACCAAAGGGTGAGAGCGTAGCTGGAAAAGCACACACTTTGTGTCTTATTGGGACTAAGCCTTTTGAAGAAGATAAAGAAAGAGGAGATGCTGTGATAGTGTGCACTTGTGAGAGCTCCCAGACATCACTACAAAACGCTGAACCGCCAAGGCTCACGGTTGACAGATGTCCTGAGACCCCTTTTAAGTAGTGAGAGTCTCAAACTCTTAGCCGTGCTGGATGGTGTCGATGATTGATACTGTCTGTGTGAGCTGATTGTGGAAGGGTTTCTTTACATTCGCTTTTGCGCTTAAGTAACCCCTCTCAAAAGCGCGCTGTTTTTTGTGATGTAGTGTGATAGGGTGTCTACTTCAGGCAACTGGTAATGCGCGGGCTACAACCACACGGAAAGAACTAGTCCAACAGTAAAAAAATCCCCACCTGTCAGTCAATATTGCGTCTAGGCTTACCGAAATGCCGGTCCCCAACAGGCCCACCGCGCGGCGAAGGAAGAGACGCAGACGCGGCAAAGGGACGAGTCGCAACGCATACCGTAGCGGTTAGGCGTCAAGTTAAAGAGAGTGCACCATACTACGTCTCATATCGCACAGCACGGCGCTGCAACTCGTCTCTTTGCCGCAACTGCGCCTTGGGGCACCTGATTGCAGTACAAAGCGTGCCGCTGACCTGCTACTTTTTGTACAGATTTCAAAAAACCATAACGGGCGATAATAGGACCTGATGGCCAAGGATACTGCAGTGCTCAGATCTAAGCAGGAAATTCTGTAAGAAAACGCACCCGTACAAACTTTTTGTGCTCTTCGCGATAGTCTTCTGAAGAGTGCCTAAAGTATGAACTCAATTCCAAGAATTTGTTTTTTTTGTGATTCTGACTTCCCAAAACTTTCCAAACTGGGTAACTCACGCTTTCCGTTATCGTGACTTCGGGAATCCATATCTCCTTCATTCCCAGATAGAGATGATCTATTCCACAGTACTCTTCAGGTGACCACTTCAGGCGTTCATCTGTCCACTCCTAAATTTCCTCTGAACAAAATAAAGGAAATATTAGCTATGAGCTTGTATAGCAAGGCTCTGAATCTGTTTAGTTTTGCCTCTGCAGTACTGTGCTGTATGGAAGAGGGAGGAGCGAGCAGCATAGAAGCAAAGTTGATTGAGGTACGGATGACACTATGCTTTAACTTGTAAATTGCGATATGATGTCCAAGTTTATCCGAAGTTCGTCGTGAGCAGTGAGCTGTCAATTCACAAGGTGTTCCTCTCATTTGATTCTTCTTTCTCAGCATTTTCAACATCACAATATCACATTTCTCGATATCTCTCATGGATAGAAGTCCTTAATTGCGTTCACGAGGTCAAAGCATAAGGCAGGGTATGAAGTTCTTCTTGGGGGCGTACTTGAAGACGGGAGCATAGCGAAATTTGATGAGACAGATCGGCCGGATACAAATCGCAAAACGTGTCTACTGACGCCTAACGATTTGCTACTAAAAGCGCTCCGAATTAAAACTCTAAATGGCAATGCTATACGACAAATAACGCTTAAAGCCACGAGTCAGGATTAGGTGACCATAGAAGGCCTTTCCATCACTAATATTTCCAGGAATGCGCTCAGAGGGGTGATGCCACACTCCTGACTCGAGATTGCGCGCCGTCAAGGCCTCTGGCCTACTACTTACAGCGATGGGTTCGTTTCATCAGCTGGTCCCGCCCACCGCGGGATGTGGTGCGTGGCTGGCCTAACGTGTGAGATCAGCTAGGTTGATTGCCGTATCAACCGATGGAACGGCTGGCATATCCGGAAAACTCGTTTGGACGTGGCTCTCCCCCGAGCAAGCCTCCTTCACTGCTAGAAGGGAAGGGGTTTCGATTTCGGTCTTGTCGACGGTTTCTTTGCGTTTTTTCTTCACTGTCGTTCCACCTCCCATCTCTACACTCAATTTCAGGCGCCATAATGCCCAAACACGAGCCTGACTTTTGCCTTTAAGTTATCAAACAGCATATGCAACACAAGTACTTATAAACAACCATCATGTACTCGAAGAGGATCCCCTTTCCTGCTCAGATTCGCCTGAACAAATCACATCGTGAAATCTTTAAGGTGTCCAGGAAAAGGCTTTACATCCGGATCCATTTCCGATCAAGCCAGAATAACCTACTTCGAATGCGTCGGAACATAGTGATCATGTTCTTTTTCAGCATTCCCTGAAAGAACTCTTAAATTGTCTTTCTACCTGTTTTTTCTTTTCTTTTTTTCAGGGCAATTTTCTTGAGTGCAATTTTTCCTGATGTCACTAAATAGGGCGGAAGTGGTGTAGTGGCAAGTGGCACGCTTACCACGCGAGCGGTCCGGGGATCAAATCCTGGGTCGTGAGTCGCCCGGGCCAACCAAGCCTTCCATCCCTCCGGGGTCGGTTAATTGGTACCAGACTTGTCTGGGAGGATAAAAACACTGACTTGTACATCGGCTGGCCCCCGCAAGTCATTGTATAGGCCACATCGCATTCAAACGCCACTGCGAATGTACAAATGGAAGTAGAATGCGTGCCGCATCCCAAAAAGGGATTGATCAACGGCAAATGCTTTATCCTTTTTTATCACTAAATACACTGTAATTTTTCTCAATTCTTTCATTTACTTTTTTCCGAAGTACTCTTAGTATTATTTGTATTCTTTGAAACCGCTTTTTTTGCGAATCGGTGAGCCGATCTTGTCGTTTCGAATAAACGGTCAAGAGAAGCGATCACGCTGGCTTCCACGTGGGTTTGCTAACCTCGCGTTATCAACCGATAAGGTGTGAGATAGCTAATTGTTGGACGAGTCAAGAGGATCAAGAAACCTCTCTATTCCTAGAGGCACCATTTTTAAAAGCTCATAACTAGCTTGGAAAGTCCGCGTCGCAGTTTTGGTCTTCATAATTGCAACCAGTACTATCAACGTATCGATTTAGTCATGTTCTCAATCAAGGCTTGATGAGAATTTCAAAGGGTCTCCTGACAAGAGGAAAAGTCACAAAAAATTTACCAAAATTCGAGAACGGCGGAATGCTTGCAATATAGTTCTCTAAGACGACCCTGTACAGCTTGGTTTGTTCAAGTAGAAGTTCTTCCTGACCTAAAATTGAATATAGCATATATTTGAAAACAAATTCCAATTGGCCAACAACTCATAGGAACCATCGACACGTCTTGCTGCAATCAAATGTTTAGGCATAATGAAGGTCAGGAGGAGCAAACGTTTTCGGGAGTCACGTTTTTATCGCGTTTCTGGAAGTGGGGGGGGGGCATGGCAGGCAGACAATGCTCTCTGCAGTTCTTCGCAGCTGAATCATAACTTGCAATAAATATATTATAGTCAAATACCTACTATGTAGGATGCAATTGTTGGCACTAGCGCCGTAGGTAAAAAATACCCCGATTACTGTAGCGGCGAACATTTCGTGTGTAGCAAATGACCGGAGCTGAACCAGAAGTCAGAATTGATGCGTTACATGCCGAGTATTTGCTTTGGGCATGGCGCAAGTTTGGATAGGGACTGAATCAAATTCCATGTTTGCTCAAAGGGTATGCCAACAGGTATCTGGTGAATTTTGACTCTGGCATGAGTATTTCTGAATGAATGATGATAGAACTTAAAGGAATCTTCCACGGAAAAAGCTCCGCCTCCATTACCACAGAAAAACGATACCTTAGGCCCCTAGCCTGGAACATAAGCGTTAGTTTCGATAATACTAATCCTACACACAAGACAAAATGATCACTCTTTCCGTGGAAGATTCCTTTAAGGTATCGTTTTCTGTGGTAATGAGGGCGGAGCTTTTTCCGTGGAAGATTCCTTTAACTGTATTTCGGTGTTGAACTACATGCTTGTTCTATACACGAATGATCGTAATAAACAGGGTCATGAAATCATAGGGATAGATTAAAGGCAAAGGTCGGGATTAGTTGACCAAACCAACCCTTTCGGTCATGTCTGTACTTGGTTACGCACCCGTAGAGATGTTCCCTCAAAATCTCGAACGGCGCGGTAATAAGGCCCCAGGGCATGTACTATGCGCTATCGCCGCCTGGCCCCGCTACGACCGCCCACCTTGGGATGTGGTGCGTGGCTGGCATAACGTGTGAAATCAGCTAGGTTGATTGCCGTATCAACCGATAGAACGACTGATATCTTCCAGAAAACTTGTTTGTACGTGCCTCTTTCCCAAGCCAGCCTCCTTCACTGCTAGTGGGAAAGAGGGTTTTGTTAACGGCCTTGTCGACGGTTTTTCTCAGTTTTTTCTCCACTGTCGTTCCACTTCGCATCTCTATACTCAGTTTCAATCGCCATAATACCCCCTTATTGAGCCCGACTTTTGCCTTTAAGCCTTCATCGGTAAATGAATCCCCTGGGGTCAAGATTATCGGAAAAGCGGTTCATTAATATAGCAGTAATAGTCATCATCACTCCTAGCCCACGTTAGCAATGTCGTCCCAAACAGGTGAAATAAAGGTTCACTCGAATTACAATAAGAGAGATGGAAAAATAGACCAGCACAAACTAGTTATTATAGACCTCAGCTATTGTCTCTAAAAAACTATTCACAAGAAAACTGATTGAAAAACTAATCGTAAGTAGCTGCTTGAGGATGGTTCATTTGGTCACCTTGAGCTCAACGGCGATGGCGAATAACTTCATAGTATGAAGAGTTAAAGGACGAATTCACGATGAAAAAGCAACCCATTTCAAATTAACCTAGGGATGGTGAGTGGTACACGAAAGAAGGAAGAACCATGAGAAACGGCCCAGAACCCGAGAAATGGGACCCCTTCCTTGCCCGTTGATTTGAGCATTGATGCGACTCTCATCGCTGTGCCCTCTTCAACACTACGCTCTCTCAGCTATCTAATCACTCGCCACGTATTGAACTACGGCGAGTGATCAGATGATCGGTGGGCGGAGATCGCCGACCCGCCAGCTTTGAGGCATGATAGGTCGCCGAGGTCAAATTTTTCCATGCGAATTGCGCGTCAGTTCGCACCCTCAGGAGGTCCGTGGGTCCCTCAACTAGGTCAGTTTCCCTTTCTTCGACCTTCATTCTAATCGTGAATTCCTCCTTTAAGGGGCATTGGACGAGAGCTTGTTTCTGCTTCAAGATTCTTTAAGAAACAGAACCATAGAAATAAGGTTGAATACAGTACTGTTGTCCACAAGACCTCTGTCTTAGCCGCCGCCCTTCCATGGGCGAAAATCATCGACCAAACGAAGGGAGTTCCGTTTCATGACGGATTTTCTGCTACATTCGCTCCATGAAGCACTCCTACCTTTCCTTCTGAATTCGTCCAGAACCTATCGTGATCTTTTCCTTTAAGATGACTCTATCGCGGTTTCGCGAGTTTCTAGTTGGGTTGCGGCCCATGCAACCGAAAGAGGACAAGTGCGCCATTTAAAGGGCTTGGGGTGTCGTGCCAGGGATGGTCCTGTATGGAAATTGCATTTGCGCGGGACTCGACACCCCAAGCCCCAAAATCAAATCGGCCTATCATTTTTTGTTTGATTTGTTTGTTTTGAAGGGCACTTTTTTCATCTTTACGCTAATCAAACTCGATAACGCTTCTCGCGGGATGGGACACGATATCCCAGTAAGGGGTTTTGTTCGTACCAGACCATTCATTGATGGGAAAAGGGCTCAATGCCCGAGTGCTCGTGGATTTTTGTTCAGTTGAATCAGTTTTCATGTAACGGTGAACCCTTTACGTTCAACAGTGTTCCGGTGTTCTGGATCCTTCGGCGCCACGAGACACTGCTCATTATGTAACCGCTTTATTTCTCCTTGAGCAGTCTCTCAAATGATTCAATTGCGCTATATCGGCCCATGGGCAAACTAGGAGTGGGAAAACTTTTGCTATGGGCGCGGAGGAAATTACAGCCAGCAT